TATATATATATATATATATATATATATATATATATATATATATATATATATATATATATATATGATACTCTAAAATGCTGAAAAACTTGTAGATCAAATTAAATGTCATTAGCATCTTATAATGAATGTATGTTTCAATTGAAATCTACAAGCGTCATTTCTGGTTTTTTAGCCGAAGTTTCAACATATGATGCCTTTTTGAAGAGATGATTTTCGAATTTCAAGTTACTTTTAATTTTTAATTTGAATCTGTAATTTTATTATTAAATAAAAATGTCAGGTATTAAGCATTTCTCTCTCAACCCCGTTGTTGAGCTATATTTGTAATATATTTTTTCGAAGTATATAATAATTATATACGACAAATATAACAAATAAACTCACACATCCTTCTCATATTTAATGAGGTTTGAATCTAAGATGTGAGTGTTTTGATTATGATATCTCATGCATAACTTAATTGACCAAGGATCAATAGTGGTCTTCCAATTCATTCCTTCCTTTATCCCCCAAAAAGAAAAAAACAAAAATAAATTATTGGCTTAATAAAATTCAACAAAGTACTTCCTAAAATTAATATATTATAATTATAAATTATAAATTATAGAGATAAGATGTAAACAAACATGACCGATTGAGATATGACTGATTTATATGAAATGGTCACTTTGCATTAATTACGTGAACGAGTTGAAATAAAGAGGCACATATATCATAATCCTAATGGAAACCGAAAGGGAATAAGACCCATGTTATGTACCATGCAAGAGTGTTAAAACGATGTACGAGTTATACCGCGGAATGTCATCTTTCAACAAATATAAACCAATCAAACTAAGTTGAAGTACCATAAATTACGTTACATTGTGCTACTACTTTCATTGAGTTCACCAATCGGATACGAAAAGAACCAGAGAATGAAACCACAGAGAAACAAAACAACGGGGATGACGTGGATGACTCTCTCTGAAGATGACGAGGGGTGTTCCTTGGTCCCGTCTGGATCATACACTGGCAACTCATCCGCCAGAGGTTCGGAGGATTTCCCTGGCGGCAATAGGTTGAGCAAGAACTCATCGGAGCCGCGGAACATGGTGGCTGACGATGATCTATACATCCTCGATAAGATTACCAAAGCCTTTGAGAAGGACTTGAAAATTGAATCTTGGATGCTTGAAGATTTTATAGAGTTGTTTTTTTTAGCATAGAAGCACCTTTGCTTCACCCTAAAGGGTGGAGTTCTTTTGGGGTGGGGGTTGACTTGGAAAATGAAGAGGATATTAGGAAAAGGAGGGGGAAATGCAGTCTTGTTCAAGCAGCTTTAAGAGTAATCAAAGGCAAATGCATGTGGCTGAGTAAAAAAAATAATCAAACCCGATATATTCAACCTGGAGGTGAGGTCTGAGGGTAGGATGTATGCAGACTTGGCATTCACTCCAAAGGGTATACTGATTGTTTTTGTAAAGACCACCAGCTTGTGGAAAAGTGAGCGAAAAAAGGAATAACCCCATGGTGAGATCTGAGGTTGGGTGTACATAGACCAGTCCTCTACTCCAAAGAGTACGAGTGATTGTTTCTGTAAAGACCACCAGCTTGTGGAAAAGTGTGAGCGAAAAAGAAAAACTCCACATGTGAGGTTTGAGGTTGGATGTATGGAAACCAGTACTCTACCCCGAAAGGGTAGGGAGCATGTGAAGACCTCCAACTTGTGAAAAAAATATGAATGAAAAGTAAAAAGAACCAAGACTAGGGTATGACGGTATGGTACCTAAAGGCATCATAGAGGACAAACCAACCGTGGAGCTTAGGGTATGGTTCATAGCCTACAAGAAGAAGTTAAACATGCACCAACTTAATACAAATTGCATTCATTCAAGTGATCAACCACCATATGGGAACCTAGATGGCCTGCTCAACCAACAAATAAAGGCTAGGCCTCCTCAGGATCACTAGGGATTTTTCTAGCTGTTATCTTCAGGGCCCATGGCATTAGTTGAGGTGAGGGCATGGACACCCACGGTTTTTCTTAGAGAACTACCAGGTCTAACATCATCACCGTGCACCAAAAACAACATTTTTCCCTTCGTTTCCTTGCATTTTGCAAAAAAAAAAAACTGCTATAACTCAAACTCCAGTAACAACCGAGTAGCATTAACAGATGTTCAAGCTTGCTGAAATAAAATTGGATTGAACTTAACCCCCAGCATGATAGTCAAAAAAGGCGCAGCTCAATCTACTTATTGACACTCATATTCATGAACCTTATACCAAAGCTCAAGTCGCAATGTCAAGCACTAATATCCAAAGGGTGAAAACTAAAAAGGTCTGTTTGGTTTGTGGGATCTCGAATTGAATTCCATTCCAATCCAGCATTTGGTGTAAAGGAAAGTCCGGAATTGAAATCCCGGGATTTCAATGAAAGAGTATATGATATGCAGCAAAAATTTCAATGATTGCTCTTTTAATTGTATATAACATGTAAGTTTTACAATGAATTCCAGTTTAGAAAAGGATTCAAGAAATAGACCAGATACCATACAACATAAATTACATGAAAAGATAGCAGCTCAGTGGGAAAAAGAGTAGAAGTTCCATGCTGGCTTCAATTTGGTTACCTGGAGATGCTGCAAATGCTCGTTGTAAAAGTATTGTCGCTCTTCCAATTCGTAAAGGGACTGAAACAAAGCCATTATTTTTGTTAGACGCATATCAAATCATCCAAGAAGAAAGAAAATATATTAACGATGGGGTCTACACTAATGAGCATGCAGAGGACAGCCAGACATAGTTCCAGAGGACACTCAAATCTTACGAGTATATGTCAGGAGCGATAACAGCACAACGAAAAATGACTTAACTTTTACCAAACCAGACAAGCCCAGTAAATCCACCCAAAGAGGAGGGGGGGGGGGGGGGGGGAGGTGCGCAGACTTGGCCTCCACCCCAAAAGGTAGAGCAACTGTTCCCATGAAGCCCCCCTCCCCCTTGGCTTGTACATAATACGAAGAAAAAAAATGCGAAAAAAGAACATTGGCAAAAGAACTTGAAAACAAGGAAGGCAGTGCTGAATTTTGAACTTTGAAAGACAAGTTAGAAGCAAACAACCGAAAATCAATCAGACAAAGAAACAAAGAAAACATACAAATGGAAGCAAGTACACGGAAACATAACCAAGGTAGAAAGAACTACACGCCCCTCGTCTAAGAATAAATGGGAGCATCATATACCCAAGTTAGTGTGAGTGTGCATAAAAAAGCCTGAATGATACACAAAATGAACACTGTAACTTAAAGAGAGTCAAATTAATCTAAAAGCTCTTAGAGGCATAAGCATTGGTCTTACTTCAGATCTTTGGGTTTAATTTCTAATCTTACAATTTGTGAATCTTTATCTCCTACTTTTTACTAAAAAGAAAGAAATTATCCATGTCGCATACTCAATCATGTATCCACTCTTTGTGCTTAACAATGTGGGGATATGGTCAAGACCATCGGAGGGTGTACCCATAAAACTTGAGGTGGAACTTTCATAAGCAGCAGATATTAAAAGGCTACATTAAATCATGGAAATCAAGTGTATGGGCAAAATCCAGACTCAGGTTAAGCCATTTGTTTAACTGCAAGAACATTTAAAAAAAAGCAAGCTGAAAATAAACAAAATGAACAAAGCAAATGAAACCACTCGAACCCATTAAAACAAATTGTACTACTTGGTTAGTCATAAATACCAAATTATATCATAACATACCTTTGAGATGTTAATAATAGTCCTTTTCTTCGGCCTCATTCTATATAGAACTTGTTTATGACTGGAGGCAGCATCTTGCCAGATGACAACTTAACTTTATACCCAAGATCAACCTTCATCAAACGATGATTTTCTTCAGAACGGCTCATTGAAAAATTAACAAGGATCTCATCCCCTTGGTTGACACGCACAGGTGGATGCAAGAGAAAAACCTGAACACAGTGCAAGCAAATCCATATTATTAAAAATAATAAAGCTAGAACTTCGACAAGAAAGCAAGATGAAACATAAATACAAGCATAAATGATATGTGCAAATGAGGTCCACTCCCTATCCCATGAAAATTGCAATCAACCACCTTTCATCTAATTTATTACTCATTATGTCCCATGTAATCATTATGATGTTGGTTATAGTACACAAGGTGTACTTTCTATGTTGTAATGATACAAGGGCATCTTAGGCAGTTGACTAGCAGTCAGAGTGCTATTTCTTGGAACTTATTTTACTTCAAAACAACTTATGAACATAGAAGCTCGACAAGATGTAGGGGTTCCAGTTCCCTTTGCTTGAAGAAAAAAATATTAAGCAATGTTCATCAAGACCATCATTGTTGGCATGATCCATGTCACATCATCAACATGTCAACATTCAATCACTCCAAATGCACAGTTGTCTGTTGTTCTTTTGAGTCAACTAATCTATTATATTATTACAAAAGTCCTTTTCTTTGAGAAGTTCTATAGTTATTGTTACAAACCTGTTGTCCCCAATGTGTGCCATCATCTATGCTGGGAGCTGTTGTCAACTCAACCTCACATTCAGCAGGATTCTCCTCCCTTCCCTGTAATCATTACACAGATGGAGACAAATCAGTTTACCTAAGCCCCAAGATCCGTTGAAAACTGAAGGGTGTAAAGAAAGTCAACTCACATTAAAATGGACATCAAACCAGCCACCAAACCCACATAGCCTTGTGTCCTCTTTGGTAATTGTTGATGAAACACTGTCTTGAACTTTGAGGATGTCTTCAACGGTTACCTTTAAACAATCAATCTCCTTTAAGATAGCAGCTGTCCCTACAACTTGATTTGGATGCAGGTTGTTCCACACGGAATTCTACACAGTAAAACAACAACATCCTTAAAGATGAATAACATACATATCACATACACTTTAACAAGAAAATAAGTAGAACTTCTACTCCATCCATCTCATGGAAACTACAACGATTTATATTTTGGGATGTCTCTTAAAAATTGCAACATTTCAATTTTCCTGCAAGTTTTCAAGCTACAATAAACCTATTTGCAAGGACTGGGGTTGGGGGTCGCTTTAACCATAGTTTATTTACAAAGATCTAGTTCTTAAGTATAAACTGTATAAGGAAAGCATTTGAAGGCATGCCGTATATGAAATCATGTAAAAATTTGTTATCATTAGTTGCTTTTTCCTTTGTTGGTTCTCAAGGAAATAATAATGGTAGATTCAAAGCAAAAGCCGTTGTCATCTCAGACATAAGAACTATGGGCTGAAACCTTGTTCATTGCAGCATCAGAGTTCAGGCTTAAATATTGCCGTATAACAGTTTTATGGATAATGGACAAGAAACAACTGTTCCAACCTGCAAGTAGTACTTTTTTTGCTCTTCAGAAAACGGTTTTGTCAAAACACTCATATCCACACCGTAATAAGATTTAGTTTCCTTAACGAAACCTAGCCAATCATCCATACATCCTTCATAATCACTCATCTTATGATCTCCTAGTCCTGATCTGATAGGCGCCAACCACATGCGAGCATGACTGGGATACCTACAAATAACAAAGAACAAAGAACAAGTGAATAAATTTGAAGAGTCAACGTTAAACAGATAAATGTTTTTAGTCATCTTTTACAAGGTTGACGATAGATAAAGGCTTGTGAATTAGGAAACAGTATTAATAGTTCATATGAGTATACGACAGTTGCTTTCTTGTGATGACTTTAGTTCCAACACTAAATAACCCTTGCCTATCTAGAATGTCAAATATGAGAAAGTGGTCTGTCAGATAAAAGTTAATCTGTTCTGATAACATTGATCCATGAGCACGAGTATACAAGCAGTCACAGATATAAAATGTGTAAAATAACTTACATAACTCCAGTTGGTTTCAGCCAGCGATCACGAGCACAGATTACAGAATCAAACATAGATTCACGCAGAAGAAAGTATCCCATCCACTCGGAGATGATTACATCAACTGTTCATTAGTTTTCAATATGAGGAGAAAGGAAATATAATTTAAAAGGGAACTTCATGAAGGGTGGAACCAATAACGAAAAGATGTGTCGAATAGATATTCGATACCAACCTTTCTCAGGCAATGTTATATCTTCTATTGAACCCTCAATCACTTCAACCACATCATGAAGGTTATTTGCTTTAACCAGCTCACGAGCATGCTCAGCCATCTTAGTAGCTTCCACAGCATAGACCTTCTTTGCACCTGCCTGTGCTGACCAAATTGCTAAAATGCCACTCCCTGTTCCAACATCCAACACAGTCTTCTCCAAGGAATCACCAATTAGTTATAGATCCAAAAACTCCACAAAAAATTGAAAGCAGTACTGAATCAAAATGAGCCCACTTGTCTAAATTACAAGCTATGCATTACTTATAAGAAACATGTATCTCTATATGAAACACAACTTTATATGGTATTCTACTTGGATAAATGTAAGGTCATGGCAACCAATTAGGTCAGCAGAAAGAATAAGATAATCATAAATTGAAAACAAAGCTTAAAATGCTTCCACTATATGGTTTCCTACATCTGTCAATCCGATAACCAACCCCAAATCCCGCCCCAGCCTCCACCCCACCTCTTCCATTTTCCTATTGAACATCTATACGAGAACCATGTAAGAACTTTGTTGACACTTGCTTATTTTCATTAAGTGCTCTAGTACAAAAGTTATTCCACACAACTTCATTTTTTCCGGTGTGCAACATGGAGCTTACTTCTTGTTGATCTCGCACGCCATATATGAAAGCTCCGAGAGATAATTTGAGAGCCAAAGGAAAAGCCATACTTCAATAAAACAGAAGAAAAGGTAGACCTTCCCAACTGTTACTCATAACGGGTTCAGAAGTTACATATAATACCTTGAAAGTCCCCAAGGTTCAAAATGAACACAATAAGAATAGGCATTTTTTCCAAATTTTGTCAAATGCAACATTCAGAAATCAGAAAAAGCACATTTTGAAGCTAATTTTAATAGTTATCATTTTTTTCTAACTAGTTTTAGAGTTTAGAGTCCGACATCTGAAACACAAACTCCACACACAATGAATTAGGATTTTAAGGTTACATCAAACACATAAACCCTAAAAAAACAAAAATGGAGTAAGGTTTACAACCATGAGCACCACAACTTAATCTTAGATTTAAATTTTGCACCGAGGAGATACGATGGTGTTTGAAGTATATAACTTTTCTACAATTATAAATGAAATCACATTCCAGATTTCGCATTGCTACCCAATCATAAATACTTTGGAGATCTAAATTTTTCCAAGAAAGTTCTTTAAACCTTTAACCAAATAAGACGTACAATTTACAATTCAAAAACCCTACTATTGAACTTGAAAATGGGTCATATCACCACAAATACTTGCAAAGTCTTGATCATTTCGCTGTACGACTCTGGAACGGTAGTCGCTTAGTGCGACAGCACTATGGGATGCAWAGAAGCTTCGTCACCCTTCTTTAGTTGCTTCATCGAGATTGGGATGGTGTATAGTGAGAGCTAAGCTAGGAACGGGGAAGGATGAGCAGAGAGGGAAGGACTTTCTGGCTGGACTTGACTTAGAAATAAGGATATCTACATTGAACTAAATAAAAACCACCGCCAATGTGATGTATAGTCCAAATTTAAATGAGTACCCTCAATGATTATACAAATTTAAAATTCGAAAACTCTTCTGTTTCACCATACTTCTTGCTCTGGTATAGAAAGATTGTCGAATGTTGGAACAACAAAAACTTACTCTGAAATTGAATCAAGAGGCAGTAAGTTATGTATGTTTATAAAAGCAAACATGAAAGTACTCTCTCAAAATTGCATCTATGACATGATTCTATAAATTATTTGACGATTATTCAAGTTCCTTGAATGCAGTAAAGACACTAAAGAAATTGCAGAACAAAATCTAGCATGAAACGTTTGAATGAAGAAACTTTCACGTAATCATAACTACGAGGGAGTAAAAATACGTACTTTTCCAATGAAGTGATGTTTATTCTTGAAAACAGAGTTGAAATAAGCGTCCATTCGAACACGGTCGGAAAGCATCTCTTTCTGGTGGTAGAGAAAGGCGTAAGTGCAGAAGTAGTTGGCGAAATCGACTCCTTTGTCGACGGTGGCGAGGCCATTGCTGGTGGATGTAGCCATGTCGGCGGCGGCGGCGGCGGCACCGTTAGCTGCACTTCCCATTTGTATATACGAATGACCTCCCTTTGTGTGGAATTATGATTTATGGAGGGAGCGCGAGAGAGAGAGAGAGACAGCGATTGGAAAATGGTGGAAAGAGGGAAGAGGAATGTGTGCATCTTTAAATTAGGGCACAAGGGTATGGGCCTACACGCCACGTCAGCTACTAATCCAATTCGGTTATTGTGGTTAAAATAGTTACCAACATTGAAATTGAAATTATTTTCAAATTTTTATTTTTTTGATTTTAATTATTTATACATTAAATTTAAATGGGGTGGATTTAGAAATGGCAAAAAAAAAACCGAAACCGATGGTGAAAACCGAAACTTTCGGGCCGGGTTCGGGAACTTCTTATCGGGGACGGGGCGGGGATCGGAGACAAATTCGGGGATTTTAACAGGGGCAGGGACGGTGATCACCGGCCTGGCCCGGCCCGATATGTATAGAGATATTAATTTTAATATATATATATATATACATACATATATATATATATATATATAATATCATTAAAAGAAATAGTAACATTAAATTTTAAAAGACTTTTATCCACTTTACCTCAACAACTCAAATAAAGTTCACGAAAAAAACTAGTTTATTTGTCTAAAATCGTGATTTTAGTTGTATGATATGTGAATTTCTGTTTAGTTCTATATTGTAATCTAATACATTGTTTGTAATTGGTTCGATTATGTTTGAGACATTTAAACTTACATCTTTGAAAAAATTGTAATTTACTTTTAATTGTGAGAATTAGCATATTGTAATTCTTTTCAGATCGGTTTCGAGTTTTGGTTTCGGGTTCGGGTATAATCAATGGTGAAAAGATGATTTTTACCCTTAACGGGTTCCCCAACGGGAATCGGGGAAACCGCAGGGACCCGATGGGGATGGGGACGGTTACAGGAACGGTTTTTGCTATCGGTTTCGGGGACGGGGATACCAATACCCGGCCCGTTGCCATTCCTAGGTGGATTAGATTAAAAGTGATCAAGGATCCAGCTCGTTCACTATAAATTACATATGTTTGTCGATGGTCAATGATTTTATATTACTTATGAAGACCCAATGCCCATTTAATGTTACAACTAGGAAAGATTATCCCATTTACATTAATAAGACCAACTCATATGCCTATAGATCAATTACATTACAGTCTAATATATTTAGCTTCTAGATATGTCAAACCATATCCAATACATAAGCATTTATGCAAAATAATTGGTTATCTGGATAAAATCTTCGTTTTATCAATAAATCCAGTGGTAAGACCAACTCTTGATTTTGGTTCCAAAATACATTATAACTTTGGAATAACCACCCCTAAATCATATAAAATCATTGTGAAGTTTGCTTTCAAAGTTTTCCAAGACGCATTAAACGGTGTGACGGTTTTTATGACTATCAGTTTCCTCCATTAAAATGTGACTATTGGTTGTCTTCCATTAATTTGGATGGTTTCCAATCATGCATATATATGTTTAGCGTTGAGTATTGCTTTGTTTGGGGTTATTTATTGTTGGTTTACGAGATGGCTTCGGTGAAGTTCGATATTCGAAAACTTGATGGGAATGCTCGATTTCCACTATGGCAAGTGCAGATGAGGGACGTTCATTGGAACTTGATGACGCATTCTTGTGCTTTAAGAGGATGTTAATGGCTTGGGCTGACGGTGAGAAGAGAAGGAAGGATTTGAAGGCTCAATCTCAAATTCGTTTACACTCATCCCACGATGTGTTGCAAGATGTGTTAAAGAAGACTTCGGTGGCGGATTTATGGTTGAAATTGGAACAATTGTTGATGACAAATAGTCTATGAACAAATTACACTTGAAGTAATGGTTATTTTATCTCAAATTGGTTGGAGGTAGTTTGTTGTCTACTCGTTTGTCCACATTCATAGAATTGGTTTGCAATTTAGAGAATATGGATGTGAAAATGAAGACGATGATTTGGCTTTATTCTTGTTGTCATCGCTGCCTGATTCTTATAGTCATTTTTGTGACATGATCATGTATAGCCGTGAGACACTTGTATTGGATGATGTTATCATTTTCTTTGGATTCGACGGAGAAAATGAAACAAATCACGAATGGTGGTCTTGAATCGAAAGTTGAGGGTCTTAATGTAAGAGGGGTATCATTTGAGAGAGGCTTATCTTCCTCCGGTAAGGCGAGATCCAAGTTAAAGACCAAGCGTAAACTATGCAATTACTGTCACAAGAAAGACATGTAATTGACGAGTGTTACAAGTTGAAGAACAAAATAAAAGAAAAGGCGGCCGCAAAGGGTAAGCGTGTTTCCAGTTCTAGTGAAGCCAATGCGGCCGAGGTTGGTTCTGATGGAGGGCTTCTTAGTTCTTACAATATTTAGAGGTAGGCCGTCACTTTTCAGATGCTTGGATTCTTGATTCCGGATGTACGTTTCACATTTTTCCCAACAGGGGTTGATTTCATACAAATGAGGACATTCATCATGGCTCAGTTTTGATGGGCAATGATGCTACTTGTTTGATCAAAGGATAAGGTACGGTTAGTATAACAGCCTAGATTTTGTTATCGATTAATCTTGGTATATTCATTTACATGACAATTAGATGTTTTATCTACTTATACTCTTGCTTAAAGTAGTTGTATTTTGGACTAATAATATAAGTCCAAATTTTATGTAAAAGGTCAATTATGTAGAAAATAAATTGGTCTTCGAACTAAAAAAATCCATGTAAGGACTAATATTGAATTAGGCAATTGATGAGGGGTAATATTTGATAAGAAAAATCCATGTAAGGACTAATATTAATTCCAGCTAAATAACCCTCATTTTGCACATTGCACTTCTCTCTCTAGACTTAAAATTCTCTCTTCACATAAACCCTATATTTGGTTATAACCTTCTCATGCATCTAGTAATTTGATGATATTTTGAAGATTTAAAGCTAATCGATTGAAGAGAATGTAAAGAAACAAGGTATGAATCTATAAATTTCAAGGTTTGTGGTCTAAATTGTTGATTTGTGTTAAAGTTGGGAAGGTTCATGTTAGGGTTCATAAGGTTTTGATTAGTAAGCTAAATCTGTGTTAAATGATGTTATTTTTATGTCATTGTTGATTAAAAAAGTTATAAATTAAGTTTTAACCATTTACTTGCAATATGGTAAAGCTAGGTAGTTGATTTGTGATGCTTTTAATCTCAAATTTATATAAAAAAATGGCTGTTTTGAGCTATGCATAGGAATCATAGTACTGCTGGTCATTTAATAATTCATATAAAATCACTCATTGATCCGATTGAGGTGTGCCATACATTGTTGGAAAGGTATCTGTGTCTACTACAACTCTGTATATGTTCAGACCTGATTTTACCTCCATAATGCTCAAAATAGTGAGTTTCTGTATTTGGTCTTGTGCAAAAAGGGGATTTGCATACTGTTTTTAGAAAATTCATATAAAATAGGTTTTTTTTTTATCCAAATGGAATGAATCCAAATCGACTAGAACCCTAAGTAATAGACCTACAACTTTTGTTTAGACATTAACACCTGAATGCATCTCTAAGTATGATAAAATGATCAAAGTCAAGTTGGTTCAAAGCTGTCAGGTGCAGGGGATTTAGTAGCATTATTTTTGCTTGTACTTTGTGCTTTGAGGATTGTAATATCCGTAGATCTCGTACCAATCAGTCACAATCATGTGTAAACTTATTCAGACCAATCTTAGAATAAGAAAGGGGCATTAACAAGGGGATAAGAGCTACATGCTTACTTCATCGATTACCATCTAAGGTATGGATATTCAATCCTTGTAACTCTAGCTACTAGTCTAGTATCGAGGTAAATTATTTATCTCATTCTCTATCAAGCATTTATCACATATGCTCTTGTTTCTCAATCTATGAAATCAAATTGGGACATTTTGAGTTTGATAGCTCCTTTAATTATTGGTGTTCGACATGTCAATGAACATAAATCTTATTTAGAGCTATTATTAGTGTTTGTCTTTGGTATGACTATTGTTGGCTACTTGAGTTGAACCACTTTTTAATTCGATTCTTCTGGTATTGAACCTTTGTCGGATTTGAACCGTTTTCGGAATTCTATTTTGACATGTAGTTGTTAATAGTTTCATATTTTGTGAGATTACCCTTTTCACGTTGAATTGATATGTTTTTGGTGATTTGAGCATTTTGTGCTTAAAGGCACGACATCGAGGGCAATGATGTCGTGACGCCTCCATGGCAGCTATAAATTGTCATGACGTCCTCGCTATTATACCTCAATGTCAATAAGTGGGTATGGCCTGGTACAGGCTAATTTGAGAGCGAATGGATCGATCCTAGGAACCGTTATCGAGAGCCGTATTCGGGAGCTGATTACCGAAAGGGAATTGAGTGTATTGTTCTACACTCATTTTCCATTGTTCGAGTAACCTAATTGTTTTTCTTACTTATTCTCAATTCTTGACTTGATGATATTATTTTAATTATTTAAGCATGGACATTTCATGTCAATTATTAATCGATCCCTTCATGTTCCGGTTTTCAGATTTCTTATAATTATTAACTCGATTATATACTTGCGATCTTGTTATTTTAATTATCCGCTCACTGAGCATTTGGCTCAGCCGAGGTTAGTTTTGTCCTCGACAGGTACATGATCCTAGGTGGGGTTATCACGGGACTGAAAGTGATGGAATATGACTATTTTGAAGACGACCTTGGATGGTATAGTAGTTTTTGTTTTTGTATATATTGTAATTGTATCCATGTCGTCTTAATTTCTAGTCTACCGCACTTTTTTTTTATGGATATTCATAGTAGCTCTGGTTTTCCCGTATATTAGCTATTTATCTTGTTATGTTTTCCTCCGTAACACACCATCCTCCGGCCACGCGGGACGGGGGTGTTACAATATATAAATTGTTTTATCTTATCTTACTATCTTATTAAGCAAATTTAACAAAAGTCTTAAAGTCTTAAAATACTAAATGACCAAAATACCCTTTATACTCACTTTTTCACTTTCTTACTTTTTTACTTTTTCAC